TTGTTGTATTTGTTGTTGTTGTTGTTGTTGCTTCAGCTGCTGTGGCTTGGTTTATTGTTATTGCCAGCCGCAAAACTCAGGCAGAAGCTAGAAAATTGCATTGCCATTGAAAGGATGTTCAAAATATGTTGTTGTTAGTCCGGTTAGCAACTTGATTAAGTGCTGTCTAATCGAAAATGCATGAGTTATTTGCATAAATGATTAGTGCGGGAATCGAGCGATTCAGCAGAAGAAAAAAATAGGGCAGCAATTGGGCAAATTAAATGAAAAGCACGTTAAATCCACACAGACAGCGCGCATTGTAGTACATGTGGAGTGGAAAATTGGCCAACGCCTCGACTGGCCATGTGATGAGAGAACGCCAACAACAGCATTCCGCACTCCACGTTTATTATTGGCCTTGGCCAGTGCTCAAAAATATATATTTCGTGGAATGTGGCAAATTGCTGGCCAGCAGCGCAGCAGCAGCGCAGCAGCAAATGTTGAGTTGTTCCGCGTTGCGTTGGCTGATTCGTTTCCCAGTGGAGTGCAAGTTGGGTTGAAAATTAAATACCAATTTTTGGCCAGCTGCCGCGTCTGCTGTGTTATTTTTGTTTGTTATACAGCTGTTGCTGTAGTTGCTGCTGTAGTTGCAACATTTCAAATAACATTTCAACTTCCCACACAGTCAGCAAGCGGCAAGCAGACAATGTGGCAGCAACAACAACAGCGAACAGGAGAAGAAGGCTGGGACGACGGCGACGTCGACGACGACGACGACGGCGATGACGGTATTTATTTATTTGTATTTGAGCGCGCAGCTCAATTACGTTTAACGCTTTTGACGTTTTACAACATGGCCTGACCAGCACAAACACACACCTACACCAACACACACCAACACTCACACAGTGGAGTGGGACCCAGTGGGATTCCAGGGGCATCGCTGATTGCGGACAGCTGAGCAGCAACCCGAAAAACTGGGCAACTGGGCAAGTGGGAAGCGCGCGAGTTACTCCAACCATTGGCCCCGACCCGGGCCAATGCCAGTCGGCGCCAGCGCTTGGCCAAGCGATGCGCAACGAAATTGTTGGAATTTCAACCTTGTTTCTGGGTGTATTTGGTTGCGCTTAATTGGTTCTGTCAGCGGCAGCAGCGTCGGCGCCAGGGCAGATTAAAAAAGTTCTCCTAAAACAACATTAGCAGCCGGGCAGAGCAGCAGGCGGCGCAGCAGGAGAAGCGTACGAAACGAGCAGCGGAATTTAAAGTATGTGTCTGTACGCGCGTTGGCCAAACAATTTGCTTAGTTATTGATATGAGAGAGGCGGACAGGGCGAGCAGAGAGGAGCAGGCGGGCTGGCGGACAGCACCAAAATCCTTGCCATGCTGTGAGCCACTTCATTTCCGGGCTTCCGTTTGTAATAATGAGAGTTTGCAGTAATCTCGCGAAATGTACAATCAGTGGAGCAATGTGTACGTAGGTAGCGGGTCGGAGGAGCGACCAAATTGCCGGGCACGTGAACAATGTGCCATTTTTTCGATTTTGCTGAATTGGGTTTGCAAGTATTTTCAGTTCAGTGTTTAGCTTTCCTTTTCAGCCAGTCCCAATGTCCTGGGAGTGCGCTCAAACGTAGCTAAAAGAGTCACGTACACGGCAGCCAGCAGCCAACTGAGCACAGCTGCCGCCAGGCGTGTCCTTCGTCCTGCCGTTCTGCTTCAAACGTCCTCTGCGTGCTATATTCTCTACGCTTTACAGTTTTGCACTCAATTGCTTATGAAATTAATAGGATATGTCAGTGTTTAGTATTGACCGGAAGTAATACAATTGATAAGGATTATGTATGTCTCTCTCTCTCTCTCTATCTCCTTCTCTCTCACACACACACTCTGTGTGTGTGCGTGCGCTGCTTACTGACCAAACCAGCGACATTGATTGCCCAACTGGGCGTATGAGTGATATGGACATCAGCTCAAGGCGATGGATAATTGCAGAGTGGGCACACACGCGCACACAAACACACGCACGCACGCATGCTCGCTCACACACACACACACACACACACATACGTACGTTAGCTGCGCCACATTAGCATATATAATGCAACTACCAGCGGGCATTCCACGTGTGCCCACGCCCCTCATCTCTCTGTTTCTCCCCCTACGTCTCTCTTGCCACCTGCCGTATTCGCATTAGATATGGACTAATTATGCCCTAATTGCGCACAGCAATATTCATTTACTCACGTTGGTTTCATGTTTGGCTTACTGTTGCACATTAAAACCGGTAAATGGCAGTTGGAAAGTATTCGCAAGTGTGAAGCTATTGTGACATATTTCATATGACGAGATGTACTATAAAAACGTTTATCTTTAAATTTCAATAAAGAGATTTACTAGAAAAAAAAACTACCTTTAAGCTGCAAACTTTTTTATCAGTGTTCTGAGCTTATATATATATTAGAAACCAATTCATTTCAATATTTTATTTTATTTCATTTCGCATTTAATGCTGAAAAAAAAACTCAATATTTCAAAAGAAAAGAAACAATATTTCATGTAGATAAAATAAATATATATCCCTTACAAAGGCGTATTGTTGTCTTTTATGCATACTCAGAAAATGCATTACAAAATTGTAAATAAATATTAGATTGCGAATTATATCTCTCAAGACCAGACATGAATATCAAAACAAGAACAACGAACATTCAAATTATTTTGGTTTACTCACAAAATGCCTATCGATTAAGACAACATTACCAATTTAGATAACATGAAGATTATCCAAATATTTAAATTTAAAAAAATCATTTTAAAAAGATTGAGGACGGTTATCTAAGCTGATCGATCTCTTAAGTTTTGGATCATTACGAATTTAAAATGTTGCATTTTCTTATAGATTGTGGCCAGTAAGTCCATCTCTATTGCGGATTTTGGCATCGGCTGCGGCAACCGTTTCGATTCGCAATTAATAATTCAGAATTCTCATTATGTTGAGCCCCACGCTGATTGTGCGACTGGTTACCTGCTGCCTGTTGTTTTTATTTAAATAATTTAATTGCTTTTCGATTTGTTTACAAGTTGAAAATGCAAATTTTGCATAGGCCGCGGGGCAGTCAATTGACTGCGATTTAAGGCCCACCCACAGTTAATGCTCTTTCCCTGTGCAAATATGTGGACACATTGTGTGTGTGTGCCGATAATAAAATTAAAAACTGCATAAATGGTAAATAAATAATGCGGTTGCATACTTTAAATGCGAGCATTGAAATTGCATTAAAGCATCAATGCGAACAACATCAAACGCTGCCCACAAAATCCTTTGGCCTCAACAGTATTTACATTTGCAATCAAGTCCCAGCGCTGCGACCAGTGCCTGGCGGCTGCTTATATAACCACATTAGCCAAGTGCTGGGCCAAATCCAATAGTCAACAAGCCACAGAATGCCAAGGGCCAGCTTGAGAGTCAAAGCAGCGTGGCCAATTCAATTTGTTTGTCTCACTATCAGCCAGCGCGCCCGCCCAGCTGCCCCAGCTTGGGTTAACTAAATCTTTGGCTATTCCCTAGTTGCATTTGCAGCTGCTGGTCCCCCGAAACAAAAAAAAAAAAAACTGAAATGCGGAAATTATTATTGGTTTTTCGAGATGCTAACCCAAAGATCCCAGCGGTAAACTCTCAGCTCTGCGCAATGATGAAGCAAGCCAAAAACTTTGCTGGACTTAACTTTTGCCAGAGTATCAAGCAACGGCAGCAGCCCTGCCTGCTCTGGCCCATTGTCTCCGCACAGTAGTCGATCCAGAAAACTTTGCTCATGAACTTAATGCCGGGCGGACTGCTCCGATGTTTGGCTGCTGCTCAGCTGCATTATGCGTGAGGTCGCAGCTAAAGTTGAGGCAAGCCGAAGCTGCTGTTGCTGGTTGCCGGCTGCCCCAGGGACAGCCACATGAGCAACAACAATAACAACATCGAGCTGAACATCATGTTGCTGATGCTGCTGCTGCTGTTGTTGCTGCGGATGCTACTGTTGACTTTGGGCATTATTCTTAAATCCGATTCAATTAAAATGCAACCAACTTGCATATGCAATGCAATTTAATTAACGTCGCTGGGGGATTTTTGTTTGCGGCCCCAGCTGGAGATCTGGGCCAGCGCTTGGAGCTGTTGCTGCCAGCTCGGACCTCGGTCAGACTCAAAAAGCATATAAATATCCAGTGAGGCGTGTGTGCATGGCAGCATATCCTTCATATCCTTCACTTCATTATGCAACAATTATGCACAGCAAAGCATGCGTTTAATCTTTTGCCCCAGCCGCACATACTTACTACTCACACATACACGCGCACGCATACACGAGTACATGCATACATGCATATGCACACAAATATTCATGCATATGCCAGAGCAGCGTCTCTTGCTGCCTCTTTTCAATTTAATATGTCTGTGCGTGTTAGTGAGTGTGTGTGTGTGTGTTCGTGTGTGTATGCGTTCCTCTTATTGCATTTTCTGTGCGATTTAATACCCATTTAAATGTAAATTTGTATACGAAATTATCTACGTGAAGAAATCTTCAGGTTTTTAATAACATTTACCCGCAACGCAGCCGTCTGTTAAATACAAAATGTACTTATGTATGTGTTCATATATGTGCGTCAATTTGTACGTAAAAGTGAATACACTTAAATATATTTATTCATATTCAGGTTTTGTTCCTTTTGTGCAGCTGCCAACGCAAAACTTTTAAGAGGTATTTTTAATTGAAGTGTATAACTTTTACGGCAATCTGACCTGGCCTGGAGAAACAAATGTTACAAAAATGTAAATGAAAAAAAAAAACAATTAACATGTACATAAATATAAATAAATTTGGTATATACATATCTATAAACATGTTGATAAGCAAAGAGAAATATTCTGAGCTAGTTGTACTTGTCTTAAAATACATTCAAGTCAAAAGAATAAAAATTGAAAAGCAAATATTTTTTATAAACTGTCAACAGCCTAACAAATTTATAAAATTGTTTACACATCTGAAGTATGCAAATATTTAACAAATAAAGACTAAAACAGTGCTCTTTTTTGTATAAAATGGGAAGCAAAACGAAAAGTAATATAAACACGAAATCTAAAGGTAAGGATGATATTTGCCATGCCGAAGATTTAATACCCTTAGAGACATTGCCGATATGTGGGAATAGTGAGGCTGAGCTCGAAAATATTTTGGAAAACAGAATATTTTTACGTACCAGAACCTACGTTTAAGCCGATGGCTCCTTTGGCAGCAATACGATATATTCCGATGTTAATAAGATATTGCATATATATAAGGAACATAGTGATAAATATATGACAGCTACATGATTCCGATTCGGCCGGTTCTGTCATAAGTATTGCCGGCAGCAGAAAGAAGGACCTATGCAAAGTTTCAAGACGATGAACAGACGGGCGATCAGACAGACGGTCATATCTATAGCAAATCGCTTGTGAATGCTGATCTAGTATATATGTTCATTATGGAGTCGGAGATGTCTCCTTCATTGAAGCTTGGTAATTAGTAATTACCAAGTATAGTCAAGAAAGCTTGAGAAACACAAAAGCTTTCCATACAAAACATACTTGTCGAACGATTCGATCTGTAGAGCTTTATGATATAGAAGCATAGTGTATATAGAAGGCTTAAATTGAATGTGATTGCTTTTGGGCGGAAGTGCAAGGTTAACGATTAATTGGAGCCGAAATAGCATAAGTTAAGCTTTAATAATCTCCGCAAAGGCATTTGCGGCGAACTAAATTAAAGATATTTGAAATAATCAAATTAATATATTTTTTAATCAAAATACTTTCACGCCTTGACAAGAGCAGAGATCAAATTAAAGGTCTTCTGAATCGCATGCCCTCCCCAGCTGAGAGCACATTTTTTGCATACTCCAGCTGAAAAGAAAGGTTTAATAAAGTGAAAGCAGTTCATGAAATTGATTAACTTGGCATAATTAAAACTGCCAAGCACAAAGCAGCTGGTGCAAGGTGTGAGTTTTGTTTGCGACGAGCGCATTTTTTGTAGTACACTAAGAATATATATGTATGGGCACCCAGAGCATAACTATAAATCTGAAAATCTAATCAAATGTCTGACAATACGGGACTATAAAATGCTTGAAGAACTTTTTTGAATCGAGCAACCAAGGGACCCGACCCGCGGCCCATGGAGAGACGCTGCTGTGAAATGTTTTTATGAAATCGTCAACAGCTTTATTTGTTTTCAATGGCAATATTTTTGCAGACCGCTCTGTTTTTGTTCGGCGCACAGACACACACACATGCACACAGATACTAATATAGATACATAGATACAGATACACTAGATGGCTACTATTTTGGGCAGTGCCTGGCTTTTTATTAGTTGAGGCAGCTTGCGTTGAATTGATTTGTTGTTATCGCATTGTTGCGGGCAGATGAATGAGGGAGAGGGTGGCGGGACAGGGAATGGAAGGGATCTCAGAGCTTGGCAGTTGAAGGGCTCTGGCCGTGGCGATGGCGTGTGGCATCAAAATTGAAAATAAAAGCAACATCTGCGCTGTCAACAAATAAATCAGCAGACAATTTCATTATTTGACAGTAAACGCGATAAACTGTACCGAAAATGGAGACAACGTGACCCGCAATCGTTGGGTTTGGGGCGCTAAATAAATAGCCCCCAGTAGCCCCTAACTGTGGCTGTGCCTAGTTGATTCAGTCACGCCCTCGATAAACAAAAAAACAAATACAACAAAATCTGTAGAGTTGTCGCCTGTTGACAGCGCCGAGATTTTGGCTGGCAAGTTTTTCTGAAGTTGGCCCTGACACACACAATTAGCAGCTTCCTCTCGACTTGCTTTATTAATTGAGCTGCAAAAGTTGCGCCCGAACGCGCCCCATAAACGTAAACGTAAGCGTAAACGTAACCCTAACCCTAGGCACAGATCTCGACCCACACACACACACACACACAGGCACACCTAGACCAGGCAGACACACGCCGCAGTTTGGATTCAGAGGAGATGTATGGAAATGTGTGTGTTGTGTGTGTGTGTGTGTGTGTGTGTGTGTGGCATGTACACAAAAGTTGCTCCTGAAAGCGGTTGCGGGTGGTGCAGCCAGCTGGGAACGGGAACCAGGCACAACCGCAGCAAATGAAAGTAGCGGCTGGCTGGGATTGTGGCCATAGCAAGAGAGCTAGAGAAAGGTAGAGAAAGGAGGCCAAGAGCAAAGGCCAGAGGCACGTGGAGCTGGGAGCAAGTGGCTGGCATAGTTGAAATGCTCGAATAAAATTTCATTAAATACACCAACATACTCACAGACAAGTGCACGCAATTATGGTAAGACAGTTAAGTTTTTGATTGTGGGAATCACGCATGAGTACGCACACCAGCTAACATACACACACATACGCACATACGCACATACGCACTACCATAGTTTTTCAACAACAAATTCTGAAACTCAACTCGTGCCAACTCGCCAAGAGGCAAAAGGACGCAAATTTTCATTCGTTGCGGGTTTTAGTTTTAACAATTGCCTCAATTTATGTCTCAAAGTTTTCAGGCACAACTTCTGCACAGGCATTGTCTGCACACTCGCACATTCACACACATGTGTGCATGTGTGAATGGGTAGGTGTGTACGAACTGGGCGGGGCTCCATAGTCAACTACGCGTGTAATAAATTTCAATGCCTTGTCGTTTAATTAATGATAACAAATGGGGTGGAGCTGCCGTTGGGGGCTCTTCACAAAGCCAGCTACTCTATATGCCGTTTCAGTAACAGAATATAGACACATACACACACACACACATACACGCACACACACACACAAGCATGGCGTTAATTCAATTTAACAAATATTGACATATGCTAATTCATATAAATGTTTGTCAAGCCCCGTCGTCTAAGACCAGACCTCAGCTCGGGCATAATTGATTGTAAAAATGGCAAAATGAGCCGAATTAAAGCACAATTATTTGCAACTGGCATTAAGCGATGTCAGTTAGCATAGCACTTAAACAGGATTTAGTGGCGCTTAACTCCATACGCCATATACCACATATAATATGCACGCGTGCATGTGTGTGTGTATATATATGTGTGTGTGTGTGTGTGTGTGTGTGTATCGCACATTAATCATATTTCTCATTACGACTGCTCGTTCGCAAAAGTTGCTTGTCAATAGTATTTTGTTTAATCATAAATTGCATTGAATTATAAATAATCGATCCATTATTAACAGAAATGCCAGCGAAATATACGAGATCAATTAAGTGCCATAAATCGGGAGATTTTTCTGAATTTTATGCTAAAAAATCTAAGAAAAATAATTATTACGCATATATGAATAATATATTATTCCCATCTGTTAAGACTTCAGCTTGGCTAATCTAGCTATTCACTAGCTTTTGACCTTAGCCCTGCCTTAATTACAGGGAATAGACCGGAGTACTCAGATTAATCTTAGTTAACTTCTTTGCCAAGTACGGCCAAGTCTAGGCGTGAAATACCTTAAAAGATCTGTCAAAATCTTCATTGAATTCCTGCCGAAAGTCGATATACCAGGGTCTTAGCATTTGAAGAAATGGTTATAGCCTTACGATCTGTAGTGTAACAATGTTGTCTGCTGCCGGGGCAAACGATACGACCTGTAGGGGATTTGCCGCCCTTAAGGGGCTCGGTCAGCTCGGTTGTGCCTGATTTAAGTCCCACTTATGATTACAGTGGTCCGATTGCAGATGATGCAGCTCACTTACAAGGGACAGTCTGTGGGCTTTTCAGCCACTTGCTATGTTGATGCTCTTAGTGCATTGTGTGTGGCTGTGTACGGACCCAAAATCTAACAATAATTTGGCTCCAACTCGAGCACAATCAATATATATACAGTCTGGCAGAGGAGGGTGTACACTCTATTCAGCCAACACGAGGCCAGAGAGCACACACACACACACACACAGATTTCTCCCATTTAGAACGTTGTCGTTGTCGTACTCATTGACAGCATCTGAAGTTGATGGCCGGCACATAATGGCAGACTAATGACAATAATCGCCTCGCTTTTTGCCAGGCTACACACCAACACACACAGACCCACACACACTCACCCACACCCATCCGCCTAAGCAGTTGGTAAATTTATGGCCAAGGGCAATGGCAGCTTCAATGGAGGCGTTGGGCAACAAGGACGACAACGCCGAAGACGACGACAGAGGCCAGCCGGTTAAGTCTGGCTGAGCACAGCAGGACATTCCGATTTATAAATGAGTCGTGCCTTTATGAAAAATATGTTAAATTATTGAGCCATAAAGCAAATGCCTCAAATGAGTGTTTAGCCAAGAGAGGTTTCTCTCTGGGTAAGCCGGGTAAGTGAGAGAAATGAACTTCCAGTTGCCAGTCAAGAGATTGAAGGTCGAGCCGGGCAAAGCACTTTATTAAATTTAAAATCAACTGCATTACGTTGCAAACGTTCGTTTCGTGTTCATGTTTTGCATGTCGCCATGCCACGGCGCGCATACGTGCCCCGTGGGCGCACGGGTTGGTTGGGTTGGTTGCCGTTGGTGGGCGTGGCCCCGGGGGTTATAGCGTCGCGGCGGATATGCGGCGTGCGCACCATTATTGCGCCATTAAATTTGTAAGTCAAGCATTTTAATATTTGGGCCAAACAATGCAAGCGAAGCTACCAACCTACAAAACCAACTGCGTTGTCCTTGTCGTCCTTGCTTTGCTCCACAATGCACGCGATTCCCCCGGCGTGTTGAAACTCCCACCCAACCCTTTGCCCCTCCTCGTGGGACTGACTAAAGGAGCAGCGCCGGCAACGAGCAGGCAGCGACAAAGATATGCAATTTCGCATATGTACTTATATCCTAGCGACATGAAAAGGATCAATTGTGGCAAAACGAATTGCATACGAATGCGCTGCCGTGCATGAGGAGCAGCAGCAGCAAGCAGGACCAAGCAGGGGTCAGGCGGGGGTGCCGCAACTGGCGCTGCGACTGGAGGCAGCTCTCGAAGCAAAACGACAAAGTAATCCCGGATTTGCATTTTATCGGAATGTGGCGACGACGATGGCGGCGCTGCTGAAGCCTGCAGCCAGTGCACAGTGGTTCAAGCGAGTCTCAAAGAATTGTTAAAATATTTGCTTATTATTATTCAAAATATTATCCATTATCCATTTCTCGAAATCCATATTAATCGATACTATGCAAATTTTATTGCATTTAGTTCATGAAAAACATATGTAAATGTTCTTACTAAACACAGCTCTCAAAGATTAATTGCTTTAAATCAAGTTTTTGTTCTAATATTGTATTAAGTATGCTGACCCCGGCATTGTTGTTTGGTTTTTCCATTTCCAGCTATTAGTTTTGTGTATTTTTTAATCCACGTGGAGCTTATTGGCATTGTGTGCACAAATCCCAAGTGTACTTGTATGTCTTCTATTCTATTTGAGGACCAGTGTGCAGTGTGTCTGCAGTAGAAGCAGCAGCAGTACGTTCTTTATATCTGGCGTCTTGCTCTTGCAGCAGTTGCTGTCTCTTTCCGAACGTAAGTCAGTCATTTGCATGCGTCGCATATTTGTCGTTACAACAGCCAACTGTTTGTTATGCAATTGCAGCCGGGGAGTTGCCACAGCTCAGTGTTTGTGTGTGTGTGCATGTATGTCGAACGGCTGCTGTGTCGCATTGTTTGTTTTTGTTTTATGCATGTTTGCAGCGGCAGCTTATTCATATTACATAAACTAACTGCGCGCGTCTTGCGCAACGAATCGAAACTGCAATCAAGAGGCAATGCCCCAGTGTGGCAGCCACAAAGCCAATTGCTGACCAGCAGTGTGGAAAAGCTCTAGTAGCTGTCGCTGTCGCTGTCGCTGTAGCTGTAGCTGTAGCTAAGGCCAGGCGCTTAGCAGCCGCCAATTGGCAATTGGGTGCTAATGTGCGGCGCCCGTTGA